AAGCAGCTTCCTGCGGTTCCCTGCCCGCCCTTCAGCTCCAGGGTGACGGGATGAAGACCTGGCCCTCAGGAAATGATAGAATTGCCCATCTCACCACTAGACTAGCCAAACCTAGTTCCTGTAACAGTTCATTGTATGTTTTTTGTCTCCAGTCCCCTGATCATCCTGGTTGCTCTTCTCTGTACTTTTTCTAGAGTCTCAACATCTTTTTTATAATGTGGTGAACAAAACGGGATGCAGTACTCTAGGTGTGGTCTTACTAAGGCTTTTAAAGTGGATAGAATTTAATATAGAATATAATATATAGAATATAATCTTTATATTATATTCTATATAATTCTATTCTTTTTGGTTTGTAAAATTCTACATATTTCATTACCATATTTTATTTTCTAACCATTGATAAAATAGATCCCAAATCTTATAAAATTGTTTATCTTCTTGTTCTCTAATTTCAAATGTCAATTTACTCATTTCAGCACATTCAATTATATTCTTAATAACTTCCTCCTGCGTTGGTATTTTCTCATTTTTCCAATTTTTAGCAAATACAATCCTAGCCACTGTTAATACATTTACAATCAAATATTTCAATTCCCTACTGTATATTTCAGGTAAGATTCCCAATAAAAATATCTCTGGTTTCAAGTCTATGTGTTTCTTTTTCATTTTTTCCAACCATGTGTGGATTTTAGTCCAATAACTTTTAGTTTCTGCATACATCCACCACATAGGGTAATGTGAACCCGGTATCTGATGACATTTCCAACATTTTTCAGACTTGTTCTTGAACATTCTTGCTATCCTTGTCGGGGGGAAATGCCACCTGTAAAACATCTTATACAAATTTTCTTTATATGCTGTTGACATTGTCATTTTATAATTTCAAGACCACAATTTTTGCCATTTCTCTAAATCAATCCCATATCCAAAATTTTCCCCTAAGCAATCATTGTTTCTTTAACTTGTTCTTCTTCTAGCTTAATTTCTAATAAATGTCCATATAGTTTTTTAAATCACCTTTTCATCAGTACCTGTCAAAATTTTATCTAAGTCAGTCAGTTTATCATAAAAACCTTCTGTTTTAAAATCTTTGTCATATCTAGAGCATATTTGCGCATATGAAAACCAATTCATCTTTATACCTTGTTCTTCTAGTTCTTACATAGATTTAAGTTCACCCTTTTCATTCAATATTTCACCATATCTGTTTGTTCCTTTTTATATGTTATTGGAAAGAATATGCTTCAATAGTCGATAACCACACTGGAATTTTTAAATAGCGTTGCTTTTTAGTTTTCTCCCAGTTTAATAACAAAGCCTCATATATATAATGTCTTTAAAATATCCCTGTGTTTTAGTTCCATGTACCATAGGAAAGCATGCCACCCCAACAACAAATCATGTCCTTCTAACATCAATAATCTAGGATTTCTTTTTGTTATCCATTCCTTAACCCACATCAGGTTTGTTGCTTGATAATATAATTATTCAACACCACAAACAATACTGCTACCCTTCAAAAAGACCTTGACTATGTATCAGAATGGTCAAACAAATGGCAACTTCAAAACTCAACAAATAAATGCTCTGTCTTACATATTGGCAAAAAAAAATCAGAAAATAAAATACAAACTGAATAGTCAAGATCTTGTTGATGATCCAAGCTCTGTAAAGGACCTTGTAATACTCATCTCTAATGATCTAAGTGCTAGAGTCCACTGTAACTACATAGCCCAAAAGGTGTTAAGAGTTGTTAACCCAATCCTACATAGCTTTTTCTCTGGTAATATTACACTAATAAATTAGAGCATACAAAATATTTGCTAGACCAATACTCGAATACAGCTCATCAGTCTGGAACCCCCATTACGTATCTGATATTAACACAGTTGAGAAAGTGCTTTTACATTTATTCTGGGTTTTTTCCCTTGCCAAATAAATTTCAGGGTTATTCTATTGAGTTCTTCAAAAAACTTTTTATGTAATTTAATTGGGATCGTTTGGAATAGGTACAAGAATTTGGGGAGAATGTTCATTTTAATAGTAGCAATTCGGCCTAGTAGTGAGATTTGAAGTTTCCCCCATGATTCTAAATCTTTCTTTACCTGGTGTATCAGTTTATCATAATTGTTTTCTTTAAGTGTCTTACAGTGTGGTGTTAGCCAAATTCCTAAGTATTTCACTTTCTTTGTCACTTGTATATGCATTATTTCTTCTAGTTCTATTTCCTGTTTTTTTTTGTTAGGTTTTTGGTCATTAATTTGGTTTTTTTTTAATTTATTTTAAGTCCAGCTACTGCTCCAAATTTCTCTAATTCACTCATCAATTTTGGTCCCCCGTCTTTTGGTTCTTCAATGAAGAAAATCATGTCGTCTGCAAATGCTTGCAATTTATATTCCTCTTTCTTCACTGTTAATCCCTTTATATCTGAGTTCCACCTAATTTGTGTTAATAATGTCTCTAAGCTAATATGAAGAGCAGGGGAGAGAGTGGACAACCCTGTCTCACTCCTTTTTCTATCTTTATTGGGCGGGTGCATTCTCCATTGACTATTATATTAGCTTGTTGTGTATCATATATAGTTGTTATAATATTTTCAAATTTGGTGCTCAAATTCAAATTATAAATTTTTTGAATTAAAAATTGCCAATTTAGATTGTCAAAAGCCTTTTCTGCGTCTAGGAACATAAGTGCTACTTGTTTCTCGGGGTGGGCTTTGTAAAATTCTAGTACGTCTAATACTATTCTTAAATTGTTCTTTATTTGCCTAGTTGGGAGAAATCCATTTTGGTCTACATGTATATACAAGTTTAAGATCCTTTTTAATCTGTTTGCTATAATAAGTGTGAATATTTTGTAATCAGTATTTAAAAGTGAAATCGGCCTGTAATTATTTATATATCTGAGATCTGTATCTTTCTTCGGGATCAGCGAGATCAACGACCCCATGAGTCCGGCATCCTGGCTGCCAGTAAAACGTCATTGAAGACTTCAACCATAAGTAGACCGATTTGATCTGCTATTGCCTTGTATAGCTCCCCTGGGATCCCATCTGGGCCCGGGGGTTTGTTATTTTTCTGGCTCTCTATTGCTGATTTCAATTCCGATTCAGTAATGTCTTTATTTAATAGTTCAGCCATTTCTTCCCCAATTGCCTTATCCTTTACTTCATCTAGATAATTCCTTATTCTATCTTCACTGACATCCTCTCTTTTGTATAAATCTTCAAAGTATTTATGAATGATTTCTTTTTTCTGTTCTATTTCCTGGTATGTATCTCCTTTGCTATCTATTAACTGGTATATCAATCTCTTCTCTTTCTTTTCTTTTAATTTATAAGATAGCCATCTTCCTGGCTTGTTGGCATGTTCAAAATAGGTTTGTCTGGTTAAGTTCAAATTCATAGTCATTTTCTCTTGATCAATTAAATTCAGTTTGTGTTTGGCTATACTTGTCTGATTTTGCAGTTTGGGTTCTTTTGGGTTATTTTGTAGAAGGGTTTCTAGCTCCTTAATTCTTTGTTGTAATTTGTTTTGTTGGGAATATTTTTTCTTGTTTCTCTTGGCGTTATAAGAGATTGTTATGCCTCTTATAACTGCCTTCATTGTATCCCAAACATTTTGTTTCGTGGTTTCTCCATTATCATTTTCTTTTATAAAAAAATTCAATTCCTCCTTTAATTTATTAATGTATTCTTTCTCTCTTATTAATTGAGTGCTTAGGGTCCATCTTTTCTTTGGTTTTGCCCTGCCCTTCCATATTACCTGTATTGGATTATGGTCAGCCCATTCATTAGGCAAAATTTCCACTTCTTTTGTCTCGTTTGCTATTTCCCTACTCATCCATGCCATATCGATCCGTGTCCATGTTTGGTGGGGATTTGAATAAAATGTAAATTGTCTTTTTTCAGGATGTAATCTTCTCCATATATCTGTCAGATTTAGCTCTTTCATCATTTCCCTACAAATCTTGGGGAGCTCTCTCTTCCTCTCTTTTATTCTTCCCGGCATTACTGTGATCATTTTGGAAATCAGCAATGGAGTTGAAGTCCCCTACTATGCAAATATTTCTTTTTTGGCCTTTTGGCTAAGATCAAGTGTAGTATCTGTTCTTATCAGTTTAATTCTGTCCATTTTTAATTTAATGTCCTTTTTCTGTGGCAGTTTCTGTAACTCTTTTACAAGTCTTTTATAATCATCCTCTAATACACTGCTCAAAAATAAATAAATAAGGGAACACTTAAACAACACAATGTAACTCCAAGTCAATCACACTTCTGTGAAATCAAACTGTCCACTTAGGTAGCAACACTGATTGACAATCAATTTCACGTGCTGTTGTGCAAATGGAATAGACAACAGGTGGAAAGCAGAGGCAAGTAGCAAGACATCCCCAATAAAGGAGTGGTTCTGCAGGTGGTGACCACAGACCACTTCTCAGTTCCTATGCTTTCTGGCTGATGGTTTGGTCACTTTTGAATGCTGGCAGTGCTTTCACTCTAGTGGCAGCATGAGACGGAGTCTACAACCCATACAAGTGGCTCAGGTAGTGCAGCTCATCCAGGATGGCACATCAATGTGAGCTGTGGCAAGAAGGTTTTGCTGTGTCTGTCAGCATAGTGTCCAGAGCATGGAGGTGCTACCAGGAGACAGGCCAGTACATCAGGAGACATGGAGGAGGCCAGAGGAGGGCAACAACCCAGCCTCAGGACCGCTACCTCCGCCTTTGTGCAAGGAGGGACAGGAGGAGCACTGCCAGAGCCCTGCAAAATGACCTCCAGTGGGCCACAAATGTGCATGTGGCTGCAGAAACAGACTCCATAAGGGTGGTATGAGGGCCCGACGTCGACAGGTGGGGGTTGTGCTTACAGCCCAACACCATGCAGTACGTTTGGCATTTGCCAGAGAACACCAAGATTGGCAAATTCACCACTGGCGCCCTGTGTTGTCTTGCCCTAGGAGACCACCCCCCAGCCATTCCTTTGGTCTACGCAAACTTTTATCGGTGTTACCTTAGATAGCATCCATGCAGTCAGTAATGCAAGCATAAGTGCAACACTTCCGTTTCTCATCACATTGCCAGTCACTTTGACATCTCACAGGACAAATAGTGATTGTGCCTGGATGGGCCTTGGGACACACCCCAGGTTTTTCTGCAAAAGAGAAGATCCCGAGGCTGAGACGTTCCCCTGGAATTGGCATCCCAGATTAAGCAAGATCCCATCTCTGGGCCTTTCAGGACCCAAAACGTCTCCATACATCCAGAGGAGACATGGCCAGGTGGGCCATCTCCCACCCTCAGCATCCTCACAAAGTGCAGCCATTTCCTTCTGGGGTCAACCTCTTAGGATCCCAGGCTGGCCTTTATAACTGGGTTCTTGACTCTTGAGTTGGGAATGGGAATGTGCACCTCCCATTTCTACCAAATACTCTGTTTCCCCCAAAATACAACCTACCCTGAAAGTAAGTCCTAGCTTCATTTTTACATATGTGCCCAATATAAGCCCAACCCCCCCCACCACAAAATAAGCCCTAATTAAGATCACATCTACTTGAATGCATGGGTAATAATTAAGCTAGGGTGGGGATGGTGGTGTGTGGAGTTGCCCTACTACTTACCTTTGGACAGGTGTAGCCAGGCCTCACACTCACCCCCAACACCTGCCTTGTTGGCCCATTTCTTCTGCAGCTGGCAGGGCTGGCAAGGCTTTCATGAAGGCCTCTGTAGCTGATAACAAAGCTCTGGATCGATCCAGAGCTCCATTATTGGCTGCAGGGGCCTTCAGGAAAGCCTTACCAGCTGCAGCAGAAGAAGTTCCTGAAGGCATTTGACAGCGAAAAGGAGGCCAGGGGTGATGTGCACAAGTGAGGTTAGTCCGTGGATGACATCCCCCCAAAATTTTCAGGGAAACACAGTAGGAAGATAGTTCTCCTTGTGGGTGTGCTGAGGGTGCCTGTTAGTCTATCTTCTCGATCAGGAAGGGATTCCAGGGAATGGGAGGCAGGCACTTTCTCCGCTGGCTTTGAACACTACTGCAGCCCCCTCCCCCAAAACAGAGGTGGGGGGGGAGACACAGCTCTCCCTCTGCACATCTAAAGGAATCTTCCTTCCTTGGGCCTCTCATAAGTTTCCCTGATGTTGCTGGGCTCAATGCAGAGAAGCTTCAGTGAATTCTTTAATTTTTTTCCTAGGAGGTTTTTTAAAAACCAGCCTGAAGAATAGCAAGGCACTATTTTGGGCTATGACTTGGCTAAAACACCCTAAACTTAGAAGTCAACTTAGAATCGTATACAAGTTCTTGGAGGAGATCACCAACCCAATGAAAACTATCTTTGGCTTCTTTGCACAGAGTTCCAATCATGCTCCCATTGCTAAAGTTCCAAGCAAAAGAGCCTCAGAGGAATAATAAAATGATGGGTGCTCTCTTGAGTGACTTTTGGTCGTCCATGTCCTTTGAGGTGTCCACTAATCAGATTCCGTTGTGGATGGATGGTCATCTATGGTCCAATATTTGTTTAGAGAGTCATTGGGGCCACTTTGAGGTTTACCTGTGTCATCGGGGTCACCTGAGTGCTGCAAATGGATGTGGAGCCTTCTCCACAGCCACTTGCATGACAACATCTGCAGAAAACATCCTGCAGCCAAGAAGGCTCCACATCCATTTGACACAAGTAAACTTCCAGGTAACCATAATGACCCTCTCAAAGGATGCAAATGACCAGCTCTGTCTGCAAGGAGTATCAATCCTTCCATTCCCCACCATCCAGTCAGAGCTGAAGAAGCTCCTTGGATGAGGAGCGAAACGTCTTCAAAAGACAAACCAAGAAAGTCCAGTTGCCGTTTGGGAAAAGAAAAAAAGGTATGTTTGGCTTTGATCTTCCTCCTCAAGGAAAGAAACAGCCCAGTTGCCTTTTTGAAAAAATGCCCTTGAAATATTGATTTATATGCTCATACATCCTTCTATCATGACTCAGGGTGATTAATGAAGATTTAAACATGCAACATAAAAGCACATTTTGTTGCAAATGAAAAGCATGGAGAAAATCACAAAGCGGCTGCCAAAAGAAAGAAAGAAAGAAAGAAAGAAAGAAAGAAAGAAAGAAAGAAAGGAACCTACAGGAACAGGATGATCTTGATTACACTTCCAATGTCCATGCCCCGAAAAGAGCCAGAGCTTCAAGGCTTTCTGGAAGGTCAGCAGGTCCAGGCCAATTTCACCTCAGGCAAGAGGGCCTTATCAGTTCCTACCCAATGACCATCCCTGCTTGACGGAATCCTGAATTTGTCCCTGGGACCTGACCTGATGGGATGGATGGGTGGAGACAATGATGCCCTGCAAATAACCTTCCCACATTCCATGCAGGGATTCACAGGTGACCATCAGGGCTTTGGATTGCACCCAGGAACAGCTGAGAGTTGGTACAGCATTCAGAACAAAGGTCAAATGCGCACAAGATAAAGAAGTTGTGAATTCTCCAACACTGGGAGTTTCTAAGAAGAGATTGGACAACACTTAGAGGTTGGACGACCATTAGGGTCTCCTGCCTGAGCAGAGGGTTGGATTAGAAGAGTGGTTGCCAACTGGTGGGCTGCGGCCTACTGGTGGTCCGTGAGAAAATTTTGGTGGCCCACAGAGAAATGTCCACCCCTAAGCAATTAATCCAGGCTGTGCGGGAACACAAGGCTGCACCGCCCACATGGCCTGCAGGAACACAAGGCTTGCATTGAAAACAACACGAGGCAGTGAGGGGAGGGGGGAAAGGGTGGAGTGGGTGAACTTGCCCCACGTGCCCCACACGCCTGGCCGGGCCACCGGGCTGCTTCTTTCCACTTCTTTCTTCTTCTGCTTTTGGCTGCACGCAAGGAAAGCAGCAGAAGTCTTTCTTTCTCTCCCCCAAACTCCGCCAGAAATGAGTCTTTGGGACCCTGCAAGGCCTCCTGCTCCAAGAGGCTGCGCCGCCACAAAAGACTCCTTTCTGGCGGAGTTTGGGGGAGAGAAAGAAAGACTTCTGCGGGTTCTGCTGTTTTCCTTGCATGAGGCCAAAAGTCTCTCTCTCTCTCTCTCTCTCTCTTCCCCCTCAGAACGGAGCTGGAGACTGTAAAGAATGATAGACTGGTAGGAAAATGGGATGGGGAATTTTCCTGCAGACATTTTGGGGGATATTCCCAGGGTCTCTGCAGCTCGTTTCCTGCCCCCCACTCCATTTTTTGCCTTCCTAGTCCACGGGGAAGCTTCCTGGGAGCAAAAACGGCTCCCCAAAAGGCTTCCCTGGGGCTCAGATGGCCCCAAAATGGAGCCTGGGGGTGCTGCACACCCCCTCCAGGCTCTGTTTTTTTTCCTTCCTGAGCCCCAGGGAAGCCTTTTAGGAGCAAAAACGCCCCACCAGGAGGTTTCCCTGTGGCCCAGAAGGCCCCCAAAACAGCGGGGTGGCAAAAAAAAAAAAGAGAGAGCCATGCCCACCCAGTTACATGGCTACATCCACCAAGCCACGCCCACCGAACCGGTTGTTAATAATTTTGGATCCCACCCCTGTCTCAGCTCCTCTTCTTTGAACATGGGGAGGAACAAGGGTCAAGGGAGGGAGGGGAAAACCCCAAAGGGGCCGAAGAAGACACCTGAGACCCGAGATGGAAGCTAGGACCAATACTTTATTCCAGAAAAGAAGGGATAAATCCAGGGTGGGTTTTAGGGTAGGGACTCCAGGGTGAGCCAGGCTAGAGAAGAGGTCTTCGGGTGAGATTGGTACACTGGGCACAATTCGGTTGAGTCTCCTCCTCGGTGATGCTGTAAAAACAAAGGTTCAGATATGAGGTTTCTGCCCATGATTGCTTCTGTTGCTACCCAGGACTTCACTCTTCCCCGTCTTACAACCAGGGAGACCCAAACCTGAAATCAGGAGAAATGGCCTGATTGGGAGAGCCAGGAAGCCATGGGACAGCCTCTCCCTTGGAATTGGGGTGGGGGGGTCCATCATTGAAGGTTTCCAGCAAAGGTGGGACAGAATCTCTCCGGGAGGTTCAGAGGATTTCTGAACTCGAAGGAGGGTGGACTAGAAGACCTCCAGGATGTTTTCCCCATCCTCTGTTTCTAGGAGCCCTCAAGGTCAATACTTGAGTGTTATGTCCCCCCTTGGAAACTCAAACGGACCAACGGAAGGCAGCCATTACACAAACAATACAAACTGGAGGAGGTAACCAGAGACTGCTAGAATTCCTTTTACAAACTAAAACAGACGGAAGGCTCTCAAACAGAAACGTCTTCATCCCAAGTAATCATTAATCATTTTGTTCCTGGCGAGAGGCGCAAGCTCAGCTGTGTCCTTTTATACTCATCAAGGCAACGTGCTAATTAGCTGGCTTGCCCATCAGATTACGTTTCCTGGTTCTGACGTCAATCCACGATCAAACAGTCATTAGATTCAAAGTTCCGAGCCAGGCCGATCCTTCCAATCACAACACTTGAGCATGTTCACTTGAGCTTCCTAACTCAGGCAGGGAGCATTTTTACAGTCAGCCAGGTAAGTCTGTCTTCGGCTCCCCAGGTGAAGCTATGGACCTTCCCATCACGTGAGCTTGGACCAGTTGTGGTCTGCCCAGAGGATGAGCTGGATCAAGGTGGTCAAGGAGTTCTGTCCCGGCCTCTCCTTCTCCTGGAAGTCCTAGTGGTCTGGAGCCTTCTGGCTTTCTGACCAGGCTGGCAGAGGGACCATTTTCTTCGACACAATGCCCAACAGCAGTTGAACTGGGGGTAGGTGGGTGTCGCAGCGTTCTACCGATGGAGATTGAGGAGGAGGAGGAGGAGGAGGAGGAGAAGGAGGAGGAGGAGGAGGAGGAGAAGTCAAGAGACAGTGGGAAGGGGGTGTGTAAGGTCAGCCTGAGGGCTTCCGTAGAATGGGGGTGAATATCTATCAGGAAGAAGACCACACCACTCCAAGTTCTGCTTCAGCATCTTTGATACCATCAGCCAAACCTTCAATGGATGAGAGAGCCTGGAGGCACAACAGCCCGAACGATCCCAAAGAGAGCTACGTGTATAGGAAACATCACACTGCTGTTTCTTTGTTGTAAGAAAACTACACAAGTGACAATGTACAGGAGCTACAAAGTACGAAAGAATAGAGGTGGAAGAGACCTTGGAGGTTCTCTAGTCCAATCCCCTACTCAAGTGGAAGACCCTATTCCATCCCAGACAAATGGCTGTCCAGACCACCACCACCCCCGGCTCTTCCTTGTGGACGCTCCTCAAATATTGGAAGTGTCAGAATGCCAGCAATCTCCCTAAATAAACCATGATTCCTATGCCGGTTTTAGTAGTTGCCTGGAAGACTGCTACATGTCACCCCTAGTCCTTGTCTTCATCTGATTGGACGTATCCAGTTCCATGTATCACACAGTTTAGCCTCCAGTCTCATCATCATCTCTGTTGCTCTTCTCTGCACTCTTGAGAGTCTCAACAACATTTTGGTATTGTGGTGACCAAAACTGGACACGGTGTTCCAAAAGGGGTTTTATCAAAGCAGTATCAACACTTGTAACCTTGATACTATCCCTCTGTTGATGCAGCCTTGGACTGTCTTGGCTTTTTTTTGCGGCTCATATTTAAGCGATTGTCCACCCCAGGCTCCCAGATCTCTCTCCCTATTACTGCTGTTGTGCCAAGTGCCACCTATTCTACTATATCTGTATATTTGGGGTGGGTGGATGTTTGCCTGAGTGTGTGGCTTTATTTTTCTAACCACTGAATGGCATTTTATTGGATAGGTGTCAGTCTTGGAAGCCATCTTTTACTTGGAAGCTTCAAGGTTGCCACATTCAGGTATCTGGGGATTTGGGAGGGGGGATTTCATAGTGGGGTAGAAGATGAGAGACAACAACATTCTTTCTCAGAGAGTCAAGGACACGCTGCCCTGCACTTGGAGGGAAGTGACTGGAAGGATGTCTCCAGTTGGGAAGAATATTTGATTGGACTGATGGATGCAGAAGATGGATTTTTGATTTTCTTTTGGGAAGGAAAAGCCCAGATTCAGGGTTTCCCAGATGTGCCAATATGACAACTCTAATAAAATGGAACTTTGAGAAAATTATTGCCTTGGAGTTTATTGGTTTGGAGTTGGTTAGTTGGAACACTGACAGTAGGGTTCAGTGCTCAAGTCTGTTGAGATCCTTCTAGATCTTGAGCCTATCTTCTGGGGTGTTGGCTACTTTCTCCCAGCTTGGTGTCATCTTCAAATTGGATGAGTTCTCCTTCTATACCCTCATCTAAACCATTTTTGAAGAGTACTGAGCCTAAGATGGAGCCTTGTGGTACCCCACTGGTTACTTCATGTAGATGTCACTCCATTGAATTCTGGGAGAGGCCACACAGCTGTTCCTTTGCTCTAAGTAAATTAAGTGGCAACGTACAGGAGTTACCTTAGACAGGATCCATGCAATCAACCAGGCATGCGTAATTGCAGCATTTCTGCTTCCCAGGACATTTCCAGTCATTTTCACATCTCACGAGACAAATACTGAAAATGTCTGGATCGGGTTTGGGACACACCCCAGGCTTTTCTGCAAAGAGAAAATCCCGAGGCTGAGTGTCTGACTTATCAGGTAGACCAGACAAGAAACACAACCAGATAGCATAATTCTGATTTATTGTAAAGCTACTATCAACTTGTAAAACATTCCTATGCCTGTTTTCAAGTTCCAATAAACAAAGGAGGGGGAAAATCTGAAGGAGCAGTATGGCAGTTTAAAACCAGAAGTACATTCCACCCTTATCTTTAAAAGATTGTAGCTAGGCTACCAGATCTTCTGCCCAAGAAAATCCTTCATTGGAGAATGTGATTGATGACACCCAGCCTGTCAATGTGCTTCATTGGAGATTGGTGATTTATGACACACCCAGGGGGGAGGGGGAAACAGGGTGACAGGTGACTGGAAATTACATATGCCGGAGTTGGCTTCATTTAGATTAATAACAATAGCACTTGGACTTATATACCACTTTATAGTACTTTACAGCCCTCTCTAAATGGTTTACCGAGTCAGCATATTTCCCCCAACAATTTGGGTCCTCATTTTACCCACCTCGGAAGGGTGGAAGGCTGAGTCAACCTTGAGCCTGGTGGGATTTGAACTGCCAAATTGTAGGCAGCTGGCTGCAGAAGTAGCTTGCAGTACTGCACTCTAACCACTGCGCCACAGAGGCTCCTAAGGCCAGCATGTTGCTCCTAATAAACCTTTTGGATTTTTTTTGAAGCTTGGCTTGAGGCTCATGATTTAATTGGGGCAATCGCCGGAACCCTGACAGCTACGTTAACAGAATCTTGCAGGTCTGAAAGGACAAATCTCTCACTGTCTCCTTTCCAGGCTGAGCTACTAGGGAGGGTCTCTTTTGAGTCTCTTTATCCACCCATTGTGCAGCATCAGGCTAGGCAGTCTCTTCATTGACCATTTCTTGGCCATATCTCCTCAGCCAGGTCTCCCAATGTCTTTTCAACATGCCGCGAAACTGACAGATTCTTCTGGAATTGGAATCGCAGAGCAAACAAGGCCCCGTCTCTGGATCTTTCAGCAGCCCAAGCCTCTCAGGAGGAGAGAAGGATCCAATCTCCCCACTTCCTTCCCAACGAAGGAGGGGAATTTCTCCCTAGTTCTCAGTGGAAACGCTCCTTGATTGCCAGCAATGAATGGAAACTAAATCAAGGAGCGAAGCAACTAGAATAGAGAATAAAATAACAGGGTCGAAAGGGATCTTGGAGGTCTTCTAGTCCAACCCCCTGCCCAGGCAGGAAACCCTACACCACTTCAAATGGTTATCCAACCTCTTGTTAAAAACTTCCAGTGTTGGAGAATTCACAACTTCTGGTGGCCAGCTGTTCCACTGATTAATTGTTCTCACTGTCAGGAAATTCCTCCTTAGTTCAAGGGCATTTCTCTCCTTGTTCGATTTCCATCCGTTGCTTCTTGTCCTGCCTTCAGGAGTTTTGGGGAGTAGCTTGACTCCCTTCCTCTTTGTAGGAGCCCCTCAAATATTGGGAGACTGCTGTCGTGTCTCCCCTAATCCTTCTTTTCATTAGATCTGGAAGGAAGGAGGGATCTCCTGACTGGGCCATTAATCAGTGGAACGGCTTACCTTCAGTAGTTGTGGGTGCTCCGTCCCTGGAGGTTTTTCAGAAGAGATTGGACATTTCTCTGAAATGGGATGCTTGAGCCGGGGGTTGGACTAGAAGACCTCCAAGGTCTCTTCCAACTCGGTTATTTTGTTAAAGCACAGCTATGGAGAAGGACTGAGGTTTAAGCCAAGATCCAGATAACAGGGACAAAAAAAGCTAAGCAGAAAATAATGCTCTCATTATGGAACTACCAAGGAGAAAAACCACACCCAACCAATGCTGGCAGGGCAAGCAACTGCATACCCAGAGCAAATAACACACTTCGTTGCACTGTTGATGTTACCCAGTTGGGTAACGAAATGTCTGCAAGAAAAGAACCGAGCTCAAAGAGAACCAAGGATCCCATCCTCCTCTTCTTCTTCTTCCTCCTCCTCCCCCTCCCCCTCCTTCCTGCAAACTTCACTCCCTTCTATAATCTGTTACCTGGTTGGGTCGTGAAACGTCTGCAAGAAAACCGCCTAGCTTAGGAAGCAACAAGGACCCATAGTTCAACCTTGAGCTACATCAATTCCCTTGTATTGGAAGAGTCGGTCTGCAACTCCTCCTCTACTTACCGACACAGGTGTAATGACATTTCTCTTTGGTCTCAAAATTGTTGGCATTGCCGTGGCATCCACCATAAATAAACTTTTCACATCGTTTTGAATCCGAGTTGTAGTAAAAGCGAGTTATTTTTGCTCTACATGGTCCGGGGTTAGCAGGAAGATCACAATACTCTGTGACAAATGGAAACGGGGGGGGGGGGGGGATATTATTTGATTAGCTAGCACAAACGTCTTCAGTTCACTTCCCCAACCTGGTGCCCTCCTAGCGTGCTCAGATTGCAAGCAGTCGAGAGCCACGGAAGATGTTTTAAATTGGTTTCCTTCCTTCTCTGGGATTTCAACCGGATGTTTGACGGGATTGTTCCTGTTGCTTAAAATCCCGATTCTTCTGCTGCATTGAGTCAAGATAGGTCAGCCTTCCCCTAAAACTGCATGTCTCTTTCCTGGGACCCCCTCCCATTTCTGTCTCCTGTTCAGCTGACACCCAACCACCATCTCAAGAACCTCCCCAGGAGAAGCCCCACCAAGCCAGAGGTTCTAGACGGGGCTCTTTGGTTTCCCTTCCCTGGGGGAGAACTTGGATCTCTTCAGCCCCTCCCTTCCAAGGGTCTCCAGATCTTTCTGAAAGCTCACTTGGACGGTCCTGGCCGGAGACGGGGGTCAGCTCTGCCCAGAGGGTGAGGAGTCCCAGCAGGAGAAGAAGACCTCCAGAAGACATGATGAAGCCGTCTGCCCCACCCTCGGGCTGCTGGCTCTATTTATTCTCCCCGCTGGGAATTTCACATCCAGGAAGCAGGAGGATGTAATGTGGTGAGAATCCACATTCCTTCCTCTTTCACAAGATGGTCAAACAAGAGGTGGGGAATCTAAGAGTTGGGTTGGCTGAGCAATTTGGAGGAAGCTCAGCAGGTCCCTCTTGATGTTGATGGATCATTTCTTTGGTCAAGCAAAACTCACCTTTCCAGAGTTGCATCAGAGCCGAGAAAGTCCCCCCATTAAGGAGTTAGGGGGTCCCTGACTGAGGGTGGAATGTGGGGGCTGCTCAGCTGGGGGTGGGGGTTGATGTCACTTCCTTGCCACGGCTGCCCTGGGGTTGTGATGGGAGAAGTGAAGAGATTTCTCCTCTTTGGTTTGGGACTGCAGAGAGATTTTGGCACAGAGGGCCTGGTATTATAGGCCGAACGATATGATATGATACAATAGGATAGGAGACTATATTAGCCCTAACACAACACAACACAACACAATTAATATCATAATATAATATAATATAATATAATATAATATAATATAATATAATATAATATAATATAATATAATATAATATAATACAATACAACACAACACAACACAACACAACATAACAATACAATACAATACAATACAATACAAAACAGTACAGTACAATACAATACAAAACAGTACAGTATAATACAATACAAAACAATACAATACAAAACAATACAGAACAATACAAAACAATACAATACAATACAATACAATACAATGTAATATATGACTTGAACTCTACATGTGGATACGGTCACTTACATTTGACATTCCTTAGTGATAGATGATGTGAACATAGATTTATCAAGGAAGCAACCTAATACTTAAGAGAAATTTCTTGACAACAATTACAACAAATAACCAGAGGGACAGAAGTTGCCTCCCAAAGTTGTGGGTGCTCCAACACTTGAGGTTTTAAAGAAAAGACTGGAGAGTCACTTGTCTGAAATGGTGTAGGGTTTCCTGCTTGTGCAGGGGCTGGACTAGAAGGCCTCCAAGGGTCTTCTTTTATCCTACACTTCTCAAATCACCTAAATGACAGGACACCAAAATTGAATCTTGTGGACTCCAGCTCCCAGAATTCCCCAGACCTGCCTAGCTATCTGGAGAGGTTTGGAGACCCCTGACCTAAATGGTTGGGAGTTGGAGCACTTCTACCTAAGTGGGTGGTCCAGTCAAGGGTGGCAACCCCTTCAAGGTAGGCCACTTCCAGGCTTGGTCCTCCCTCCCTCCTGTTTAATGAAGCGATATGAAGCTGGTGAAAGAGATCAATCATCAGCCTACGACAAGGTCGCATGCCAACCACAGAGTGAGCTTTGCTCCAGCTTGGCTTGCACCACACAACCCACGGAATGAGGAAACTCAAACAGTTACCAGGCCAGATCCCTCAAGATGGGCTGCAAAACCCAGCTTACTCAACCTCTGGGCAAACATTTCCTCTCCCGTTTATGGCCTCTTCTTGCACAGAACATGTGAGTAAACTGCCAGGGAGATGTTGCACTACCACCTGACTCATCAGGAATCAGTCATGGGACATTTGAAATGAAGATGTTGAGAAGGGAGCATTCGTGACACTTCCAGCCAGAGTCTTGGAGTCTTCTTCTCTTAGCTGGGCTCTTCCTCCAGGGGACTGGAAAATACCCCAAGGCGTTAACCCCCCGAAGGTACGTAACACAGCCTGAGGCTGCCACCAAGAAGAAGAGGGGCTCCGTTTATTTTCCAAAGCCCCGGAGGGCAGGAGAAGAAACAACGGACGGAAACTAATCCAGGAGAGAAGCAACCTGGAATTGAGGAGAAATTTTCTAACTGTGAGGACATTTTCTAACTGTGAGGACAATTGACCAGTGGAACAACTTGCCACCAGAAATTGTGGTGCTCCAACACTGGAGGCTTTTAAGCAGATTGGACAGTCACTTGCCTGGAATGGTCTAGAATCCCCTGCTTGGAAAGGGGGCTGGACTAGAAGATCTCCAAGGTCCCTTCCAGCTCTATTCTGATTCTGATTCTGGTGTCCCCATACATCTGCCCAAACGAGGATTCTGAACCCCCAGTGATTAGGGGAATCTGGACACCCTTTTTGGCTTAAAGGTCATACTTGGTGGGAATCCAGAGGCCACCTGCTGCTTACACATGTCATGCGGGAGAATTCGCAATTACGTTTGGAAGAGTTAATAATAAAAAGAGCCTCGGTGGTGCAGTGGTTAGAGTGCAGTGCTGCAGGCTACTTCTACTGAGTGCCAGCTGCCTGCAATTTGGCAGTTCGAATCTCACCAGGCTCAAGGTTGACTCAGCCTTCTGTCCTTTTGGGGTAGGTAAAATGAGGACCCAAATTGTTGGGGGGCAAGAGGCTGACTGTAAACCGCTTAGAGAGGGCTGTAAAAGCACGGTGAAGCGGTATATAAGTCTAAGCGCTATTGCTATCTTCCTGTCTTTCATATTTCCTTCCTTCCTCCCTCCTTACTTTTTTTCCCTCCTTCCTTCCTCTCTCCCTCCTTCCTTCCTTCCTTCTTTCTAAAGGTTGTCTCAGCCTTCCATCCTTCCAGGGTTGGTAAAATGAGGACACAGACTGTTGGGGGCAAGAGGCTGACTCTGTAAACTGCTTAGAGGGGGCTGGAAAAGCAATACTGTGAAGCGGCATATAAGTCTAAGGGCTAAAAGGAAACCAAGCAGCCAAGGAACTCAAAGCTGACACCAGCCAGAACGTAGAACAAAGAAGAAGGGCAGGATCGGAGGATGCGGAGAGACCACCTGGCCCAGAGAACTGCCAAGAGTCAGACACAACTGAAGGGATCTCACCTTCATCATCATCACCTACTCTTCACCTCTTTTTTGTTTTTTAACAGCAAACCTAATTCTATTTCCAGAACCTCCCTTTTCCTCAAGTAAAAGTGAAAAAATGTTCTCCAAAAAGTAACCGCCAGCCGAGTCAGGCTTCGTATTTTACCTCCCGTGGCTGGATTGCTGTACTAGTCTTTAAGCTACTCCTTAAGGAACTCTGGTGAAATTCCAGAGCCTTCATCTCTTGAGATAGGAAACAAATCAAGGCTACCATGACTGGTTAGCGGTTGTCCCACTTAGTGAAAGGTCTACTCTGAAGAGCTTCTCCAGAGTGTCACAACAATTCACTGCTTTACAGCTGAATCCAAAGAACTCAACAAAGGTGATTAGGGGACTGGAGGCTAAAACATGAAGAACGGTTGCAGGAACCGGGCCTGGCTAGTCTAGTGAAGAGAAAGACCAGGGGAGACAGGAGAGTATCTTCCAATATTTGAGGGGTTGCCCCAGAGAGGAGGGGGAGCCAAGCTATCTATTCTATCTATCTATCTATCTATCTATCTATCTATCTATCTATCTATCT